AACATGTGGTCCATCCTGGAAAATGTTCCATGTGTACTTGGGAAGAATGTATATTTGCTCTGAAGACATCAGTGAAATTAATCAGATCTAGTGTGTCATTTAAGGCTGCTGTTTCCTTGTTGATTTTCTGTTTGGAAGATCTATCCATTGATGTCAATGGGATGTTAAAATTCCCTACTCTGACTGTGTTACTCTCAATCTCTCCCTTTATGTCCATCAAGATTTGCTTTATATATTTATGCTGAGTGCAGAAATATTTACAAGGGCTATATCCTCTTGGATTGATCCCTTTATCATTATACTAGAGGCCTGGTGCATGAAATTTTGAGCACTGGGTTGCAGGGGAGGGGGGGAATGTTCCCTCAGCCCAGCGTGCACCCTCTTGCAGTCTGGGACCCTTGGCTCCTTACTTCCAGCCTGCAGCAAAGGTGGGAGAGGCTCCCGCCACTGTGGTTGCACTTGCCAGCCATCAGCCTGGCTTCTGGCTGAGTGGTGCTCCCCCTGTGGGAATGCACTGACCACTAGGGGGCAGCTCCTGCATTGATCGTCTGCCCCCTGGTGGTCAGTGCACATCATAGCGACTGGTTATTCCACCAATCAGTCTATTTGCATATTAGGGTTTTATTATATAGGATAATGTCCTTTGTTTCTTGTAAGTCTTTGTTTTAAAGTCTATTTTGTCTGCTATAAGTATTGCCACCCCAACTCTTTTTTGTTAACATTTGCATGAAATATCTTTTTCCATCTTTTTACTTTCAGTTTGTGTCACACGTAAACTTATTATTTTTGTTTTACTCAGAAACGTGTGCCAATTGTCCTGGATTTCTATAAAAAGTTGTCTTTGCTTTGTAGATAAGCAGTAATTTTATTTACATCTAAATGAACACTTACGTGAAATTTGGGGCACTCAAGCCCTAAATAAATTTTCATTTCCATATCTTACTTAGATGATGTTAAGGTTTTTTTCTCCTTCTGTGTGTATCCTTTGTTATATTAGTAAATATTAATAAAGGATGTATTTTAAAGGGTAATTTTATTTTGAAATAGGAGAAAGGGAAATTTATGCAGCAATAATGTCAGTTTCCAGAGGAAGCCCTGTTTATCTAAACACATTTTATTTGGGGTTCAGTATGAATTTTCAATAGATGTTTTTCAGATAAGGAAGCAGTAATTCAAACGCAATTATATAAACAAGAAGATCAGAGAGGACTTATCCCAAAGGGTATAAAATGAACCAAGAGGTTTTGGTCTGAGTCACTACAGCATCATCAGCTCACCAATGCAAAACAAAGTAAGGTAGGTGTCTACACTGAGAAGGCTTTGCAAAATGAAATGTTCTTTTTCCACTTTCACCATTTTAGCACTTACTAAAAAATGGCAAATGTTGAGTGATAATTTTGGATTGGCTCTAAGAATTTTAATTATTGCTCCAAAATAGTTTAATGTTGAGTGAGCTACATATATAAAAATGAGGAAAAAATTCTATTAACTCGAAGAGGTTAATTCCCTGATTGATGTTCATGGCTTTCTCTTCCTATTTACATTTCAATTGAAATAATTTTATCAATTGTATAGCATGTTATTAAATTATGTCAATTAGTAATGGTTATCTTTGATGATATACTTCTGGGAAAACTTAAGAGTGAATTCAATTTTGAATATCTGTAGGTGTAATTTACTGTGTCTTATTTCAGTTATTTAATAGCTACACCACCTTGGATAGTGTCCCGTGCACACACCTGCCTTATAGTACATTTTACTCTCTAGACTAATACGTTGCTTTAGTAAAGTTCCTGGATTGTTTATAGGGTGGGCAATTGATTCTTTTCATAATGTAGTAAGGGATTTGGAGAGAAAAAAATTGGTGGAGGAAATTAGCAGAGCAGAGAGAAATGTACTTATTGAGAATGAAGGTAGTGAGGGAAAGAAAAAGTGGAATAAGGGGCAAAAGAAAGAAGATACATTAGAATAAGGAAAACATTGGAAGTATAAACATATATGGGTATGCCACTGAAAAAGCATATCTTATTAGTTAGGGCTTAAAATCATGCCTTATGTTTAGCTGCCCAATAAATAATTTGTGATAATGTTAAAAGAGGCAATTAAGTTGCCAGGATAAGAATCTGGTGATAAAAGAGAAATTGTGGCATATATGTATATATATATGTATATTTATGTATATATTTATATAGTCTTCTGTAGCATTCCAAATTCATCATATGTATTGTTATTTTTTTCTGAGATTAGGATAAAGCATATGGAGAAATGAGGGGCACAAAGTTATTAAATTGCTCGGTGACACACATTACAATGAAATTTGGAAGCAGAATTCTAGGTCACTAACTCTTAGACCAGGAGTCTGACACTAATTTATCACATAGAATCACACACTCTTTGTGCTGAAAAGAACTTCCTGATCATCTTCTGGTTGTAAGCTTTGCTTTTCTAGATAAAGAAACTGAGGCTTAGAAAGGTTTTATTTAGGTAGAATTTTATTTGCAGTTAAGGAAAAAGGATAATTTTTACTTTCTTTACATCCACAAAGTTACACAGATACTTTGCTGATAATTCAGTGCTTTTAACATTTCCTTTTGTTAGTTTAGGGTTTTATATTTATAAGAGTAACTTTGAAAAAATGTCTAGTGTTCAGAATGAATGACAATGGGTAAAAGTTCCAAAATAGTTTTTGTTTATTCTACAATTTTAAAAAAGGTCAGGTGTACTTTTTTTTTCTTTCTGTTTTGCAGTTGGGGAAATAAGGCCCAGATCAACTAAATATTTAAGTCAATTTCTCATAGATTCATGGGAATTCTTAAAATACAATTGTGTTCCTTAATCCAGGACCAATATTCTCACCACTAGGTTGCCACACATCTATTTTACATAGCATCAGAGAGCTAAAAGTTAAAACGTGAAGTTAATGATTTCCTATGGCAAAAATCCAGTAGCTGGCTGGCTGGCTAGTCAGGCAAGAACCATATGATCAGGACAGGTGAGTATTTTATATAATGTTCTCAGTTGATATTTTTAAGATTCTGCAGAGGATCCTCCAAGTCTGTGGCTCTAAAATAAGGGAACCAATTCTACCATCGAGGGAGCTCACATTTGTGAAGCATTTGAGAAAACCAGATTCCATGAGCAACGAGTTCTTATATTTTCTGTCCCTAATTGAAATACCAACAAACCTCCAAGGAAAGCTTGAATATGCAGCATTTTATTTAAAAGAGTTCACTAGACACATATGTAATACCTTAATCAATAAAGAAATTAAAGATTGAAAAAAATAAATAAAAGGATTCACTAGAAAACCCTTCTTAATGGGTTAGCTTACTTCCTTGTCTATATCATTTGGGGGTTTCAGAGTCATAATTTGGACTCTTTCAGAGCACTTAGAACAATATGTATTTTTATTATTAGTGTTTGTTCATACTTATCTCCTCCATTATTAGACTGTCAACCCTGAGGTCAAGGACCATAGGTAGATTACGCATTTTGTATCTCTCAGTGCCTGGTTCACATGCTCAATATATGCTTATCTAATTTTTCTGCAATTCTCATTCTGGGAGTAGGAGTGCAGAAATGTTTATCCCTGGTAGTTTGTTGAAGGGGGTTTTAGTTTTCTCTTAAAAAGTTAATTAAAGATGAATTCTGGTTAACTGTGGCTGAATCTCTAAGATTTCAATTGATGGAAATTTTAGTATATACAGCTTACAGATAGTATTGGGATATAATGGAAAGATATGAGAAAATCTTGACACATTTTTGATAGAATAAAATGTTTACTGAATTATACCATATTTAATAGAAAAAGCAAACAAGTTTGTGTTTAAAGATAACTGCTTCACTAAGATGAATATTTTCTTTTCTCACAGTAATACTTAAGAAGGAAAAACTGCAAATATACCTAGCTAACTGTACTATATTTGTAAGGTAAAACAATCTTCTTAATCTCTGAAGTGATCAATTTACATTCAAAAGTCTGGATTACCTGCTCTCAGTAGCAGAACTAAAATAATTATGCCAACATTATCCAGCTCATTATGATGCCAATTGATATTGAACAAATTCTTTCAGCGGACAGGTTCTCTTGAGATACTTGTTCTTCTTCTGACTGAGGCACATGGACCCTCTGGTATCTTCTATGCAGCCAAACATATTTGACTCTCCCGGCTAGCCCACAATGTATCTGCCACCTTGATTGTTATTCTCACTACTGTATCAACCTATAATTTTTGCATCTGAATTTTTTCCCCCAAAATATATTTTTCTTGATTTTTAGAAAAAGAGGAAGGGAGAGGGAGAGAGAGAAGCACCAATGTGAGAATGAAACATTGATTGGCTGTCTCCTGCGTGTCTCCTACTGAGGACTGAGACGACAACCTGCGCATGAGGCCTGACCGGCAATCAAACCAGTAACCTTTTGGTGAATGGGATGATGCTCCAACCAACTGAGCCATCCGGCCAGGGCTGCATCTGAACTCTTTTTAAGATGATGAATTTCATACATCTTCTGGGTAACATAATTTTTTACATGTCCAAGTCTACTTTTTTCAACATTAGAGGAATATCCTAAGGATGGAGAAAGAGAGTATCTAGATTTCTGGGTTAGCTCCTAATTTTATGTTAAAGTTTTCTGGATTTTCTGTAGCTTCATCTTGTCTTCCGCTTCATCTTGTCTTCCTTGGCAGGCAATGGGTAAAATTATATGCAATATTATTTGTATTGAGATGGTACTAATGTTTGATTATGCATTTTCTTGGTTTCTTTGCCCTTTCTAATTATGACCCATTTGTTGGCCTTTTAACCAAAGTTTTTTTGAAAACTAGAGTTCTGGGAAAGCCCTTACTGAAACCTAACTGTTCATTCACTTATTCCAGTCATAGAGGCAGGTATTTGGATTGTTTTCATTGAATGAATTGTTGTACACTTAGTTGGCACATGTGTCTCTGCCACTTTCCTGCTGTGGTTCTTCAGGCTTGCCATTCACTGTGGGGTATGTGAATCAGAGCCACATTTCAGTGTATAAAGAAAAATTACTGTGGGTATTTATTATGTAAAAACACCTAATATAGATCCTAGGACAATATAGGCATAGTATTAAAATATACATATTTTTGGCTCTTTCCAAATGTCTCTTCTGAATATCCTAAAGGATACACCTAATAGATTCTTTAATTTTATTTTCAATTTAGCATGACTGCTATCTTCCTGATATCCATGCTTTTTGGCCTTCTGTGTGGGCAAGCAACGTCTTTTTGTATTCCAACTGAGTATATGATGCATGTTGAAAGGAAAGAGTGTGATTATTGCCTAACCATCAACACCACCATCTGTGCCGGATATTGTATGACACGGGTATGTAGTTCATCTTACTTCTTTTAGCTGTACATTAGGTAAACCTAGACTTTGTCCATATCTATGCAGAAAGGAAATGAGATAAATCACAACCTCATTTCCCAAATCTAATGGTAATTGGCTCCTTAGAGGTTGAGGGCATAGGTTACCATATGTTTATACTCAACACAGTGAGTATAGATAATTTTATACCACTTTACTTCCAAACTTTGTTTAAGCCTTATCTTGTTTCCATGATTAAGGATAAAAGGGTGTGTGTGCCACATTTGTCTCTTTGGGATTCAGTGAGGATGTGTTGAGTGGGGTTTGGGGAATGGGACTGAGGAATCCTCCCCCAGTCCTATTAGTGACAAAGAAACATAAGTGAGTTGATTTTTATTTGTTGCCATTGACTATATGCATCTTAAAGTGCTATTATACTATGCTCCTTTTTCTGTTCTCTCCTCAGGATATCAATGGCAAGCAGTTTCTTCCCAAATATGCTCTGTCCCAGGATGTTTGCACATATGGAGACTTCATATACAAGACTGTAGAGATACCAGGATGCCCACGCCATGTTAGTCCTTATTTCTCCTTCCCTATAGCTGTAAGCTGTAAGTGTGGCAAGTGCAATACTGACTATAGTGACTGTGTACATGAGATCATCAAGACAAACTACTGTACCAAACCTCAGCAGTCCTATTTGGTGGGAGTTTCTATCTAACTTCAATAGACTGTAACTTGCAATGCAGTTAAATGTGTTTTCCTGTAATAAAGCTATATCAATATATTTCACAATACATTGTGTATATGTTGAGTGCTGGTTTGTCCATACCTGTACTTATGCATGCATGAGAGACCTGAGGGGCGTTAGAAGAAAAGGTGACTGAAGGATGATTTCCACATGGAAGGGTGGAGTGCAGGGTAAATGGAGAACAGGGACATGAAATACTAATGAAAGCCAACCTTGAGCAAGCTCTTTTAACAGAGGGCCATGAATTTTGTCTTGACACAGAAAATGAATGTGGGAATGCTACAGTTATAAGGAATGGGTAATGTGGGAAGCTGAAGGAACACATGGCATTAGGTGCTAGTTAGGTTTGAACATTAGATTCTTTACTCATTAATCAAGTACCTGTATTTGATATACAGTTATCAGAGGGGATGTTATAATCCTGCAGCTTTAAGTGTCCACGTTATCAAGTGACATGAGAACCGAAAGCCCCAGATTAATATTTGGAGACCATGCTAATATCAACTTCCAAAGGACTGGAATGGAGGTGGAGCGTGAGGAATATGTGAAATCTGCAATATGGTACTTTATCCTACTCATTCAAATGCACAGGATAAAACGTCACCAAAACGCATTAACAGTGCATTCTATTTGCAGAACTCTTCTCTGTAATTTAATTTAATTTCTCTGTGGCCTAACTGACTTATGAAAGTTACACCCCGAAAGCCTGGAAAAGAGGCCACGATCATTTTACATGTGAACATCTAAATCCTTTGTAGTCTTTCAAGTAATAAGAGACAGTTTCTAACATTTATACCAAAAGCAACTTGTACTGTTTTGGCTTTTGATGTCATGAAAACCTATTATGATTATGAAAGATTTTAGGGACTGGGGGAAATTGCTAAGAGATTTTAATAGAGTAGAATCATCCTAAATTTTAACCTAAATATTGATCACGATTGAAACACTGTTTTCTGGCAAATGTACTTGGTAAGGGGCTGCTTATTTTTCTTTTCCTTCTGTAGGTACTATTTCGTGAGGGTTTGATTTTAATTAGATGCATGAAGTGAGGCAGATCTAGTGCCCTGCAGACTTGACCTCAAAAAGATGATTTATCCCGTACCTGCCAATTTCTCTCCATCCAAACTGCTACTACATCAGGGTGAAAATCAGTTGTTAGCAGGGCCAGTTGGCTTTGCTATATTCCACAGTCACTGGTTGCATTCAGCTGGGTATCTTGCAAATACCTACATGCTGACAGTGCCCGTGGAGGCGGTGTGGTGGTGTAGGTGGATTAGTACCAAGCCCATGCTCTTCCAATGGAGGAGGGAATGCGTGTACACTTATATACAGAGTCAGGAATTTATGAATTATTTTTACCTTAATATCTGAAGTTGATATTAGCATGGTCTCCAAATAAGATTTCAGAGCTTTGGGTTCTTGTGTCACTTGATAGCATAGACACTTAAAGCTGCAGAATTATATAACATTCCCTCTGGAAACTGTCTATCAAATACAGATATTTGATTAATGAGTAAAAAACCCAATGTTCAAACCCAATTGGCACTAATCACATATGATTTTCATGGAATCTGAAAAATATTTTCCAAGAACTTAACTGTGGAAAGACTGGGAGGTGTAGGGAGGCTGCTTGTAAATAGTCCAGCTCAGAAGACTCTACTTAAATGGGCTTCCTCAATCCAAAGGGAGGAGGCTAGACATCATAGCGGGTTTCTATGATGGGCCTGTGCCATTATGGGCCACAGACCTCGAGGCACATCAGAGACACCTTATTCCCTTCCATGAAAGGCACAATCCATCTGTGATAGATGCACATACAAATTATGTTAAACTGTACTTGAAAGCGGAGTTGTCCAAGATAAAGAATCCTTAGGAGAGAGCTTAGGGTTTGGAATGACCAACAATTTGCTTCAACTGGATCCAGAAACTTGGACATATGGAAATGCTGTTTGGGAGGGTATTGGTGTTCTTTGGGTTTAAGAGACAGAATGAAGAGAGAGCTTAGAAATGGGAAAGTGAAGGATCATTGCTTATGTAATGAGAGAAAGATGGAAACTCTGGAATATCTTTTGAAGTGGTCTTAAAATTCAACCTAAAGTTTAAAGGAATCAATTCTTGGCAGAGGAACTTTGAGATCAGTGCTTTAAAAAAAATCCCTCTTATTCCTCATTGGACTATGAAATATAAAGAGTTCTTTCACAACTAAATGGATTTGGGATGAGTGCAACAGCAATCTGCTTTTCTAATGGCCAACCTCTTCAGGAGTAAGAGAATGTACCAGGATGGACATACTGACAGGTAACAGCATATGCTTCTTGATAACAGGAAATTCAAGTAATAAAAGTTCTCTTTTACATAGAAATTGCCTCTCTCTCTTTTTTGAGCAGCAAGTCTAAGTGCAATAACATTTCTTTTATTGAGGTAGCTTCTTCTCTAGCCCTATTGTTCAATGTTGGTTCTTACCTACTCTTGTATCCAGTTAATTCGTATTTATCTTTGAAAACGACCCTGTGTCACTTCTTCTGTTGCTTTCCTCCCTCCTGACATGTTTGCCTTCCTTAGCATCCATGTCTCTTTGAGTTCTTCCGGGCTCAGTTTAGAGACCTCAAAATTTAGGAAACCTCTCTCCCATGACCATCCTCCCCAAGGTTGAGTGGGTCGACTTTGGGTTAATGATCATCAAAGCACTTACCTTATGAGAAGGAAACTTGCCAGCTCTTTCCCACTCTCAGCTTCTTGAGGGTAGAGATTGTCTTGTTCATCTCAGCATATCAGTGTTGCTATAGTTTTTTTTCCAAATGTACAAAATAGTAGCCCAAAAACAAAGTAAAGGAAAAGAATTCTAACATTAGAGTGGGTTGCATCTTAGAAGGCAGAGCAGGCCCAGGAACTTGGGGTGGGGCTATTAATACCAAACCTTTGAATTAAAATAGAATTGAGAAATATATCGAAAGCTATTCATTAATTAAGCAAATGAATGTGTTCAAATATGTATTTGTAGAAGTATCTTCAGTTACACATGATTATGTATGTTTGATTTATATTTAACAAAACTCTCCCTGACAACATAATTAAATTAAAATAATAAGTAATATTCATTAATTGCCAGGTATACGAAGCACTTTGTTGGCTACTTATTTCAATTTAAATCTTTTATTTAATATAAGTAAAGCCAACAGAAATTATATAGGAAAAAACTACCAAAGCTTTGGAAGGGTTTCTGGCGCATTAGCTAAAAACATTATGAAATCAGCACTGATTTTGCTTTGCCACATTTTGTTTGATTTTAGAAAATGTTTTTATTGATTTCAGAGCAAGGAAGGAAGAGGGAGAGAAACATCAATGATGAGAGAGAATCATTGATCAGCTGCCTCCTGCACACCCCCTACTGGGGATCAAGCCCATACCTTGGGCATATGCCCTGACTGGGAATCAAACCATGACCTCCTTGTTCATAGGTCAATGCTCAACCACTGAGCCACACTGACTGGGCATGCTTTGCAACATTCTGGGTATATTACTTCTAATCTTCATGCTTCCATGTACCAAGGACATAGTCATCTGAATAGTGGATTCTTAGAATGCATTTAGCTTTCATTGTTAGAATGAGGACATCAATAAAATGATGCATTTTGCATTGGTGTAGTCTTTTTACCTCTGAAAGGATACCTACATATGATACCTTACAGCTATATTTTATAGGAAAAGATAATGAGTCATGTTGAAAGAAAATAGAAAACCTTTGTCTTTCTTAAAATATACATTAACACAAATTCGCTTTTGATGAGTCTAAACTAAGATGATGTCATTAATTGGCTAGCTTCCAGGGCCCATAAGTGCTTCCTCCTAGGGAGGGGGAAAATGGGGTTGCTGAAAATGAGGGGCTGGTGATCAAAGCAGATGTCAAAGGAGCCGTGAATCAGGAAAGTTGGGGTGTACCTCCTGAATTTCCAATTGCTGTCCTTGGAGCCATGGAAACCACGTTTTACCCACAATACAGAGGATGCCTCTTTTAATCTTTGCTAAATCTACTTCAGAAGGGAAAATATGTTGTCTTGCCGAAACTGGTTTGGCTCAGTGGATAGAGCGTAGGCCTGTGGACTGAAGGGTCCCGGGTTCAATTCCGGTCAAGGGCATGTACCTTGGTTGCGGGCACATCCCCGGTGGGAGATGTGCGGGAGGCGGCTGATCGATGTTTCTCTCTCATCGATGTTTCTAACTTTCTATCTCTCTCCCTTCCTCTCTGTAAAAAAAATCAATAAAATATATTTAAAAAAAGAAAAAAAAAAGAAAAAAAAGAAAATATGTTGTCTCCTTCACTGCCATCTTCCCACAAGCCTCATTCTCACCAAGCAAACCTATTAGTGTTCTTCGCAGGGAAAGGAGAGCAACTACCATTGATGACTGCATGGGGGACCACGTTGGACCCTGTAACAAGTGTGCAATTTTGCAGATTAAACCATGGACAACAAAGGAGCTATTCTGGGGAAAAGGTATAAATTGGGTGAAACAATATTAATTGAAATATAACTATATGCAACGAAAGTCCTTGGGGTGTTGCTTTTAAGTCCAGCTCCCAATAGATACCATTTTTGAGGGTTACCACTATTTCCTTTGTTCATCATATTGTTTGAGTGGATTGGTAGTTGGACCTTTGGATAAGTTGTGTGAAGGTGTGTATAGAGATATAATAGGATTTTAAGATAAACCAAACAAGCAATTCTAGTACATAGAAAATTTAATTTGAGACAACTTAAAATATTTCAAGAAGTTTTAATTCAGTGCTTTGGCACCAGGCGCTTAAGAATATGTTTGGGCCTGACCTCAGATTAGTTCAGGTAAACAGACATAACCAAACTTTTATATATGTATGCGTGTGTGCCCATATATGTACACATATGTGTATATGCATGCACATATATACACATGCATACTTATATTCAAGTTACATATATATATATTCAAGAGAT